AAGCTCTGGGTGGGATGAGATCTTTGGTCCCGGGGCCAGGTGTTGCCAATGACCAGCTTGGGCTGATCAGGTGGCTAAGAGCAGCCTCATTAGGAAGCCAGCCCAGTGCTAAGAGAGTTGTGTTGGAGTTGTATGTGTGCAGGAAGCACACGGACACAGGCAGACTCAGGTGCGTGCCGGACACACGTGGAACAGCCGTGGGAGGCTGGAAGAGGTCAGGAAGGTCGGTGACCCAAGGGCCCTGTTGGACGCACTGCTGGGAGAGCAGTGTGAGTGCCCACGAGGGGAGAGGTCAGGAAGGTCGGTGACCCAAGGGACCTGTTGGACGCACTGCTGGGAGAGCAGTGTGAGTATTAGTGATGGGCGCGTGCGTGTTCGCAGCTCCACATGCCGAGCCCGCCAGGAAGCTGACAGCGCCGCAGTGCCAATCACAGGTACTGAGACCTATTCCCGGTCCGCAGCTGCAGCGATCGGGAAATGTCTCCGTACTTGTGATTGGCCCCGCGCGCTGTCAGCTTCCTGGCGGGCTCGGCACGTGGAGCTGCGAACACGCCCGAGCCCATCACTAGTGAGTATCACACAGAGGTGTGATGAGAGCCTTAGAGATGAGGAAAGCTACTAAGGACAGTATATGCTACAAAGGACTGTATATGCTAAAGAAGGCTGATTTATCATGAGAAGTGCATAAATGTTGGCCTTTATGTGAACAGGGGAAGGCTACCCTGTGGATGAACAGAGACGTTGCGTTTGCCCTTAATAAACTGCGTTTAACTTGAATTTCCTGGACTACAGTCGAGTGTCCTTGTTACAATATATAAAAAAAAAATGAAAGTCACACATGAATTCCCACCCACCCATACATACATGCGTGCAAACATGCGTCTGGTGCGCATACGTGCGAAAATGACGATTGTGCCCATTACGCCACACATTACATATTGCCGCAAACGTTGCAGTGAGAGCAATAATTTTAGGGCCATTACTCACTGATAACAGTAAACTGATGAGCGGTAAAAACTTTTAAAGCGTCAACTATGATCAATTTTGGCTACGGTAGTTTTTTGCGATTTTGCGGGTACGCGGAATTTTACTGCTTGACATCTTTGATGTCTATTTACCTGATGTGACCCCGTCTTTTATATTTTACCAAAAGATTGGGTAATAATAATTGTTTCCTAACATAATGTAAAAAAAACGTTTTTTTCCCAAAATGTTCAGTAATTTTTCCCTAATATAGTACAAAATAAAAGTGGTGATTGAATACCACCAAAAGAAAGTTCTATCTGTCGCCAGAAAATTGTATAAAATGTATTTTAGTACAGCATTGCATGACAGAATAAATGTCAGTCAAAATACTGCAGCATAGTCCAAATACTATTCGCACTCCTACGGTCTTACAGTTCAAAAAGGCATCTGTGGTGCTCAAGGTGACCACACCGATGGCGCCGTGCAAACACTAACCGTAAATTCAAGTATTTCACCGGCACACACTTGGAAAATCAAATATCAATATACATTGATATGTTTATTCAGTGGAGGATGTCACATATGGTGCTAACGTTTCGGGTCCACGCAGGGATCCTTCATCAGAGCGGCACATTGACATTATGTGACATCCTGCACTGAATAAACATATCAATGCATATTGATATTTGATTTTCCAAGTGTGTGCCGGTAAAATACTTGAATTTACAGTCAAAATACTGCAGTGCTAAATACTGAACAATGGCCTGGCCAGGAAGGGGGTGTAAACGCCTGGTCTTTCTATTGGTTAAATAAAATAGTGTTCCCTTTTTACCAATGCTGATTTTTTTTTTTTTCTTTATGAAAAGACAGGTAAGCAAAAACATACCTTCGAGCAAGACAATACAGAACAGTGACTGGTAATTTAAAGTAGTGTTAAAGTCACTTTTGTTTTTACATATATCTACTGCTAACAAGCATTAGATAAATGCAAAAACATTTTTAAAAAAATGCAAAAACATTTTTTTAAAAATACAAAAAGTTATAAAGTTACCAAATAGGTGAATGCTTACCTGTGTCTCCGCCGCCCGATCCCAGCTGAAGATCTGAAGCTTCTCAAGCGGCCGTGCAGGGTGATGGGGTGGGTGCATGCGCAGAAGAGATCTTCGGCAGGGAGAAGAGGAGAGACACAGTGGAGGTGAATGCACCCAGCCGTGAGCGTGCACGTCAGGCAGACACTGTGGTACCAGCGCTGGAGGGACTTAAGAGTGGTCACAGGGGGGAGTAGTATATTCCAACACATGCGTTTAGATCGTCCTCATCAGGAAAGTCAAACCCAAAACATCACATCAAAGTGAACTACCCATCCTGTCCAGTTTGTCACATTTAGTAAAGAAACATGAACTGTACTGAAGATCAAACATAAAAGTAATCAAAAAGGTAGAGAAAAGGAGAAAGCAGGACTGCAGGAGGGTGAGAAGGCTGGGGATACGCGAAGGAGGAAAGAGAAAGCTATGGGTTGTTTGAAAAGGAAAGAAAAGGAAGCAGGTGCACCATCCGGGGGAGGCACCATCTGAAACTAGCTCAAACAGGAGAGCATGAGTCAATCCAGGATGTTACTGAAAAGATTCAGTAACATCTATCCAAGGGAGCCAAGTTATCATAAATTGATCAAATCTGTCAGAGCAACGCCATCAAATCCTTCATTTACTTTATTAATCCACACAGACACCGAGGGAGGATCTCGAGATTTCCACTTGAGGAGGATACATGCGCGGGTCGCATTGATCATATGAATCAAAAGAGAAGATTTATACGACCTAATGGAAGAGCCAGGCAAATGTAAGAGGAAAAGGGCGGGATTCAATTAAAGAGAGAAGTCTGTGACTCTTGCCATATTATCGCAAACACCCTTCCGGAAAGGTTGCAATAATAAGCAGTCCCAGAAAACTTAAAGCAGGGAGCCCGATGCTCTTACATCTCCAACAAAGCAGAGAGGTAGATGGGAACATCCTGTGAAGAACGGTTGGTACTTTGAACCATCTCGTCAGCAATTTGTATCCAGATTCCTGTATTCTGCTAGAAATTGACGGTTTATGGGCTAAAACCAAAATCTTGTGTCTGAGTTGGCGTTAATTGAAGTGCCAGGCTGGATTCCCAGAGCTGGAATAATCTGGGTGGCAGACAATCCGACCAGCCATTTAAGGAGGACACCATGTTCTGCAAGGTGTGGCAAAGTGGCTCGGCATTGAAACAGGCCTGCTCAAACTATGTGAGTGGTCTAGTAATATGGGTAAGGTCCTTAAAGGATCTTTAGTAATGAGATAATTGCATCAAGCTCCAAGTATCCAACGGAATGGTAACCAGCCATGCAAGTTCTGCCACCTTGTGCCCCAACATCCCAGTGGAAAGGCCGGGTTGCCTAGCACTGGCGTCAGAGGGGATGGAAGGATAAAACCCAGGCTGAATAAAAGATTGGTGTAATAGTTTTCATGCTCACTCATCATAGGATTAGACCACGTCAAAGGTGACGGAACAGGATGGAGCCACAGTAGACCCTGTAAAGAGAATTCAGAAAGGATCTGTTCCAAGTGGACCCACAGTTTGGTCTTGGAATGACAACATTAATCTATTATTTGAGCCAAATGGGCCACGGAATGATAGAGAACAGGATCCGGAAAAAACAATGCCTCCTGCCTGCTTTGGTCTGGAGAGAAAGCCCAATTTGACCCAGACTCTACTCTGTGCCCAAGCAAAAGTATTGAACATGGAGTGAATACATTTAAAAAAGGATGTCTGTATGTCCACTGTGAGGGTTTGTATAAAGTATAGCAGTCTGGGTAAGATATTATTTTTAAGATACTATTAGCCCCCAAACCAAGTAAAGTTGGAATGGTCCCATTCCTTTAAATCAGACGAGATAGACTTCAGGAGGGGTTGAAAGTTGACGCTAAATACCCTCCAGGTCAGCAGGGATAGATGTGCTCAGGCAACAGACGTGAGAATCTGCCCACTGAAAAGAGAGTTGTGGTTTGAGAGCTTAAATCCGGTGATCGATCAGAGATTTAGGACTGCCGATTTAGAGAAATGAAATGTTAAAAATCGGAAAGGCCGCCAAAGCGCGAAATCTCTGCCAGTAAATTGGGGAGCGACACCTCTGGGTTCGTAATATAGAAGAGTAAATCATCGGCATAAGCCACTATTTTATGACATCCAGCAGGCGTCTGCACCCCAGAAACATTGGGAGTGCTTTGGATCATGCATATGAAAGATTCCAGGGTCAGGGGGAAAAGGGAGGTAAAGGACACCCCTGGCGGGTGCCATTAATGTTGGGAAAAAGAATCAGAGATAACATCATTGACTTTGACAGTGGCTGTCAGGGTGGAGTAAAGTGCACCAATCCAACTTTGTATCATGTTTTCCAAACCGATATGTCGTAAAGTCTCGAGCAGGAACATCCAGTCAACCCTGTCGAATGCTTTCTCCTGCTGATTTCTTTTAAATTTGCATTTTATCCAGTAATTTAAAACATTTTCCTTTATTTGTAAACTTAAATCTTTTTGCAATACTTTGTACCAGAAAGCAATTTGTTAAAATATTTTTGTTTATAGATTGCATGCAAAATCAAATAATTCTTGCAATGCTATATCACCAAAAGAAAGCCTTGTGTGTCCCAAAAATAAAAATATATCAGTCTGGGGGTGTGTCACTAGTTGCTAGGACGGCGACGGCAGCTGTCAGATTCAAGGCAGCTTCTCAGCACATACATGCCCCATACACGCAAGTATCAGTAAAGCTACAGAAACTTGCAACAAGGCTTTGTTGAATATGGACAATTGTTGTTAAAGGCACCCAGGGTTGAATCCAACCAGAACATTGCACATAACTTAACATTTTCATTAAAAAAGAAAAAAACAAACAAAAAAAATAACCAAACAGACTTGTAACTTGCAGGTAGTATAATTTAAATCCATTGTCTTAACTGTCACAAATTCTTCTATTGACTTCTCTTTTTCTCTGTTCTGTTTTCATTATAGGTCTCCTCTTTATCTGGGCAGCCTTCCACTGGGCAAAAAATTGGCCACCGTGATGTTGATGCTTCAGGCGAGACCACTTACAAGAAGGTTAGAAGATAATAGGACATACTTGTAGATGTGGTGCATTGCACATTACATTGTTCAACTTACTAAGTGGTTTAAATTAGAAATAATTGTTCCTTCTTTTCTTTGTATCAGTCTAAAGGGTTTTGTAAAAGGTGAAATGGGTTATTGAGTGTATGACAGCAAATTCATCACTTTTCTTTGTACATGGTGTGTAAGAGTGGCATTGCTAAGTTACTACTACTTACTGTGCTCTCATCCTTGCAATGCTGATGCAAAAATGTTGTCAATGAGAAATCTTGCAAAATGGGCTGGAGGAGAACATCTAAGTGCTTTTAACAGTACTGCATTTCAGAAAAGAAAGACCATGGAAGAAAGGCTAATACAACAGTTTTATCTAGACAGAATTTTTAGTTTACAATATTTTTTATTAAAGTGGCAACACCAGTCCACTACTCTGGTGAGCATAGCTGCTTTGTAATATTTGGCCAGGTCTGGAAGTCCCACCCCACTCAAGTTTTTGGGTAAGGTCAGCAAAGTGTGTCGCATGTGAGGGGGAGTGTCGGCCCAAATAAAGTTGGCAAAAACTCTTCGTAGTTGGAGGAAATAGGAGTTCGGGATTGTTATCGGGAGTGCCTGAAATAAGTACAGGAATTTCGGGAGGATATCCATTTTTATGGAGTTCACCCGGCCGAACCACGAAAGTGTGATCGATCTCCAGGCGATCAGATCTTGTTTTCGTTTTGTGCAGCAGAGGCAGAAAGTTATGGTCAAAGAGGGCCTTGTAGTCTGTAGACAAGTGTGTGCCTAGATACTTCAGGGAGCTGTCTGCCCATGCGAAGGGGGGACACCGTGCATATGGCCTCCAGGGCCCTAGAAGGCAATGGCACGATTTCACCAGATTGACTTTAAACTTGGGCAAAGAGCCGTAGAGAACCAACTCCTGTAAAAGCACCAGGATGGATTCCAGGGGTCGGGTGAGGAAAAATATCAAATCATCTGCGTAAGCGGCCAGTTTGTGTCCCCCCGAAGGAGATCTGACCAGGCCGTGGATGGAGGGTGTAGATCAAATACGGCATAAAAAGGGTTCCATCGTCAGGATAAATATAAGGGGCGAGAGTGGACAGCCCTGCCTCATGCTGTTAGTAATGGGGAAGAAGGCCGATCTCGCCTCGTTCACGCACACTGCTGCCTTTTGGCAGGAGTATAATGCCATCATCCATTTCAGCATCCCCTCCCCCAACCCTATGTGGTGTAGAGTCGCCTGAAGGAATCACCAATCTACCCGGTCAAATGCCTTCTCTGCGTCCTTGGAAAGTAGCATCAGGGCAATTGAGCGCGATCTGGCACAGTGGATCACATTGAGCACCCTAGTGGTATTGTCTCGGGCTTCCCTAGAGGTGACAAAGCCCACCTGCTCCGGATGTACCAGTGTGGGACTATACGGTATTAGTCAATTCTCTATCGAATGGCAAAGAATTTCAAGTCCAAGTTCAAAAGGGATATGGGCCTGTAGTTGCTACACCTGCAATGATCTTTATCTGGTTTAGGGATAACTGCAATGTTGGCTCGCAGAGAGTCAGCAGATAGTGGGGAGCCCAGCAAGACAGCGTTAAACGCTGCAAGGAAATGTGGGGAGAGGATGTGGGAAAATTGTTTATAATATGGAAGAGTGAAGCCGTCAGGGCCCGTGGCTTTGCCTGATTTGGATTGTTTGAGCGCTAAAACCAGTTCTTCAAGGGTAAATGGCTCCTGTCGGGACAGCGAGGGCATGCCCGAGTTCCTAATGTAGGAGTATATGGCATCATCCGCGTTCGTCCCGCTAACATCTGGTGGCTCCGCCGCCGAGTTGTAGAGACTAGTATAGTAGTCCCTGAATTCCGATTTTGTAGAAGGGATGCTAATAATTTCGGGTGATTTGAATGTGGAGCTCGAACCTTTGAGTGATACCTCGGCGGGACACTCTAATATCTCATATAAAAAAACTAGCAACCCTGAAAAACTCCTAAATAGGAGGCAACTAGTAGATACATGGAGAATCCTGCACCCAAAGGATAGGAACTATTCTTATTACTCTATGGTACACAATAGATATTCACGTCTGGACTATATTTTCATAAATCATCAATATTTAGAAAGTTTAAAATCATCACAAATAGCGGAGGTAACTATCTCAGATCATGCACCGGTCACAACCACAATAAATCTCTCCCAGGGGATGGTAAAAGATCGTGTTTGGAGACTGAATGAATCTTTATTGTGGAGACCATTGGATGTGCAGAAACTGAACGAAGATCTTAGTGAATTCTTCGCACTTAATGACTCCCCAGATATTTCGTCTGCCACCCTATGGGAAACACATAAAGCTGTTATGAGAGGGAAATTGATTGAACTGGGGTCTAGGAAGAAAAAAAGAGAGTAAGAAGATCATGGAAGACCTGCTAACCCAAATAAGAGAATTGGAAACATTACATAAAAAAATCACTCTTTTCAGATCACCTAAAACAGTTAATGAATAAGAGGGAAGAATTAAAAAATTTACTAAACGTTAAAACCTCACAGAAATTCCATTGGTTGGCGGGTATACAATACAGATGTGGTAATAAACCAGGAAAAGTATTATCTAGATCATTAAACCACAGGAAGACACAGACCTATATCCCTAAAATCAAAACAACAGATTCTATGGTTTTCACCCCTAGAGATATTGCTGAGGATTTTTTATTTCACATTGTATAATGTATCAGAAAAAGCGACTCAAAAAACATCAGACCATAGACAGGAGGTGATAAGAAAGTATTTGGATAGGGGTAAGTTACCATCATTCCCAGCTGAATCCCTAGAAAAATTGGAAAAGGAGATAGAAGTTGGGGAATTGGAGAGTAGTCTTTCTGAAATGGCCAAAGGAAAAGCACCAGGTCCTGATGGTCTAACTGTGGCTTATTACGTAACTTTTGAAGACATACTACTCCCCTGGCTTGCTAACTACCAGCCGGCACTATAGAGGTGTCATCGGCTTATGCGGCTCTGCTCCCTTCGGTGCCGCCTCGCTTCCTCTAGCGCCGGCTTCATTGGCACCGCTGATTCTCTCCTACCTTTCCCGCGGCTCTTCAAGTTCCCCCTTATGCCACCACCGGCCCTGGGAATGGTCACAACTAGGTCTTATTTTCGGGGTAGGTCTTATATTTTAGCAATTCCCAAAAATAGTACTAGGTCTTATTATCGGGGTAGGTCGTATTTTCGGGGAAACAGGGTATGTGAACTCATTAACCAGAGACGGAAAACTTAGATTAGAAACTACCTTAGCACATGTAACAGTAATTCCCAAACCGGACAAATACCCCATGAGCTGCGGTGGTTACAGACCAATATCACTATTAAATATAGATATTAAGCTATTCGCAAAGGTTTTAGCAAGGAGAATCTCCCCACTTACATCACAATTTATCTCTTTTGTAAAACAACAATCCCAGCCTACACTATTACTATCAACAGACGCAGAAAAAGCGTTCAATAGGGTGGCATGGGATTTTCTATTGTTCACATTACAATACATGGGCATGGGCATGGGAAGTAAAATGATGAGTTGGATCTCGGCACTATATAATGAACCAAGGGCGCAAGTTAGAGTTAATGGTACCCTTAGTGAGGGATTCCCACTGAGCAACGGCACACGCCAAGGTTGGCCACTCTCTACCCTATTATTTGCGATATCACTGGAACCTTTTTAAGCAAACATAAGAGAAAATAATGATATTCATGGTGTAGTTATAGGAAACAACAAACATAAGTACTCAGTTTACGCAGATGACATATTGTTTTATATCCAACAGCCTAGAATATCTATCCCAAACTTAATAGCCGCATTCCGGGAATATGGGGAGTTATCTAATTTTAAGATTAACTTTGATAAATACGAAATGTTAAATATTAATCTGTCATCTAGAGAGATGATGTCTCAACATTCAAGTTTCCCATTTCGGTGGCAGACTAAGAAACTGAAATATCTGGGGATTAATCTAACCGCTCATCAGCAGGACCTCTTTAATTTTAACTATATCCCCCTTTTAAACGAGATTAGGAAGGACTTGCAGGAACCGCTCTATACCATTCATGGTTCGGTAGAATAAACGTATAAAAATGAATATTCTACCGAAGTGTATATTCTTATATCAGATGGTCCCCATTGCCCTTCCTATTAGTTTTTTCAGAACTTTAAAAACAACGGTATCTAGATATGTCTGGGGAAGGAAGAACATGAGAATCTCATATGGCACCCTAGCAAGACCAAAGTCACAAGGCGGGTTGGCACTGCTAGATTTTGAACGTCACTATCAGGCAGTGGTATTGACCAGACTACTGAACTGGCATTTTGATAAGACAACTAAAATCTGGGTGGATGTTGAGTTTAAAATATGTAAGGCAAACCTAAGTATAATCTGTTGGTTACTGAAGCAGTACAGAGGCACAACAAAGGAGTGGCACCACCTAGTGGGGAATACCCAAACAGTGTGGGATTTACTGCATAAGAAAGCAGGATGGAGTTATAACTCACCCTTAATGCTCCTATTAGGACGATTATTTCCAACCAGGGAATTAAGACCAAAAATTTGGTAAATGGATAGAGGAAGGCACGCTACGATTGCATCACGTGATGGACCAAGGGGTATTAAAGCCGTTATCGATATTGTGTCGATCACTATCATCATCTATGATGGATAAGTGGCGTTACCTCCAATGAACCCATTTCCTGCAATTATTACCTAAACCAATTAGATCAATGGATGAACTAAATCCAATGGAAGTGATATTATCAAGACCAATTATGTCCAAAGAGAAGTATATCACTGTTGGTTAAATTATTGTCACAAACAGACCCCACACCAACCCCAGGGTTTATGCTGCAATGGGAAGAAGAACTGGGAATTCCCTTATCAGAACAAGGAAAACAGAGAGTTCTGCAACGGGGTTGTAAGATATCAATCTCATCCTATATAGAGGAGAAGAATTATAAACTTTTGTCG